TTATGAGACACTGCACAAAGGACTTACTTTGTTTGCCACAGGTCTGAAGGCATTCCTTTTCTGAATTAAAACGGTTACTATTACCATCACAACCCCCGTACCAGAAGGGTAAACATGCACCGACTGCTTCATTATAGTACCAGCGCAGCACATATCCATCACAGACGGTGCCACGGTCACTGTTCAGGTGACACGGATCTGAAAGCAAAACACTTATTTACTAATAAGCCATGCAGAGGATGCTGTTAAGTAATCATTTAAATGAACAACTTTTAAACAAAACTGCTTTTGTTTAAAGTGAAGTATAATTTCTGTCCTTTTTGTTGCATATGTTTAAGCACTAGAGGCATTGTGATGTGAGCAGAGATTTGTAAGAAAGTACTGTCTGTGCGGTCAATCAGAGACTCGACTGCTGAGACTCCACGGCCCGAGTTCTGCTGGTATTTAGTCTCCTCTGCAGTGCCTTCTTCCTCCATTTCCTCTTCAACCGCTGCATCTGGGTAAGCAGTGGACGGCACAGGAACACTAGGAAATAGCATTTGTTTTGACAATGGGCCGAAATGGATATTCACACAGAGCTGCACCACTTTTGCGCAAAGTATTTTAACACACACACACACAAAAAAGATACATTTAGATATTAATAAATACATTTATAAATCGTAGGTTTATTTTAATAACCTGCATCTTTTTAAATAAGAACCTGTCTTCTTTTTATGTAAATTACATTCATTATAAACAAATCTATATATATATATATATATATATAGATAAAAAATATATATTTATTTATGGTTTATTTGTATTAACCTGCCTCTTAATAAGAGGCTGCCTCGTTTACATGAAAATAGATATTTTTTTATGTAAATAAAATAAATACATGTACTTATTTATTGCAGGTTTATTAACCTGCATCGTTTTAAATATGCACCTGCCTCCTATGTAAATTATATTTTTATGTAAATAACATTCACTATAAATAAATTTCTATATAAATAAAAAAACGAATATATTTATTTCAGATTTTATTAACTTGGATCTTAATAAGCACCTGCCTTTCTATATAAATAAATACATACATTTATATATAAATAAATGTACTTAAGGTTTTAAGCTTATTATCTTATTATATAAGTACCTTCCATGTTTTTATGCAAATTAATCAATTAATTAATCCATTAATTCATTCATTGCAGGTTTATTAAAGGAATAGTTCATCCAAAAATGAAAATTCTGTCATAAATTACTCACCCTCATGTCAAACACAAATTAAGATATTTTTGATGAAATCCGAGAGCTTTCTGTCCCTGCATAGACAGCAAGGGAACTACCACGTACAAGGCCCAGAAAGGTAGTAAGGACATCGACAAAATAGTCCATGTGACATCAGTGGCTCATCTGTAATTTTATGAAGCTATGAGAATACTTTTTGTGTGCAAAGAAAACAAAAATAACATGAGGGTGAGTAATTAATGACAGAATTATCATTTTTGGGTGAACTATCCCTTTAACCTGCATCTTACTAACCTGCGCTTTTCTACTTAAATAACATGGATTATATGTAAATTACATCCACTATAAATAAATGTATATATGAATAAATAAATATATGTAAGTATTTATTTACTGCCATTGCAGGTTTATTAACCTGCAGCTTATTAAATAAGCACCTGCCTCCTTACTATGTAACTAAATAAATAAACACAGTGATCAATGTTCAGAGTTACTGCTATGACCTCAAACCAAACAGATATTTCACATTAAATGACAACAGATCAGATTTTGTCAGTTGATACCTATATACAGGTCTCTCTGCAGCCTCGTATTCCAAACGCTGACCTTGATGAAAATTACTACACTGACTCTGGAACGATCGATGAGGGTAGGAGTTCACATTTTCTGCAATCACAAATAAACTATATTAACATACACATGTCCTTCAAGATGAACAAAGCTATGCAAAGCCGTCCTTAAAGGGATAATTCACCCTCGTGGTCATTTCTGCGACTTTCATGGTGTTTTTTGTGCTTTTGAGTGTCATCAGTGTGAGCATATTTTCACTGGGTGAACTATCCCAAAGTTTAAGTCCTCAAATCTGTATTAAAGGTCATGAAGCATTCCTTACTGCTCAGAATGTGGAAGAACGTTCTCATGAAGCGCTGTGCGTACTCCTGTTCTCCATGTTTCAAGTGGTCCAGATGAATGATGTGCTGTTCTGAGGGGTAGCTGGCAAGCTTCTCCACCTGAGCAGTGCTGATGTGGTCACCCACCGTCAGGGCAAAGAAAACAACACCCTCGCATTTTGCCACCCTGGAGATAAAGTCCAGTGCCGTTCTGTCCTGAGATGTCATCTTCCCGCCAATAATGGCCAGCACCATCTTGTTCTTGCGACCGTCAGAAGCTGTGAGGACGCCCTTCGTTATGACATATTCTAACGCAAGACCCAGTCGGGAAGAGCCTCCGGTTTGCTGTAGATCCTGGTAGATGCTTCTCTTCATTAGACTGCGATCTGGGAACTGTTGGAAGTCGAATATCACTTTCACACAGGATTGGGCTTCACTGTACGTGGAGCTCTGCTGGTAGACGGCCACTCTCGCATGTCTGTTGGCCCTGTTGGGTTGACTGCTCACAACGATCTGATCGAGCACACTACCGAGCACCTCCTTCACACCCTCGTACTCGTCAGCCAGCATGCTACGGGAGCCGTCCACAATCACTGCCAAGTCCATGTCCAACTCCTGTGGAGCAGTTGCCAGGTTGGTGCCCTCACATTCTCTAACTGGTTTGCAGGGATCTTAGAAGAGAAAGAGTGCAGATATGATCACAAACAAACTATGGCCACAGACCTCCATAGGAAGATCTGCAGAAATCAAACACCCATCATTCATAACACTACACATTCCACATTGTACTTGTAATGTGTAGAACACTCTACACATTGCAAGTACTTTTATTTTTGTTTTTTTATTATTATTATTATTATCAAATGCTTTCAGCTACCTTTAAGAGTACGGTACTTTATTTATATATTAATTTGAGATATTAAATTGAGATGTTTGAGTTTATATTGAATTTTTTGCAGACTTTTTGCAAACATGAACACTGTTTAAAACACTATACTCAGAAGAAACTCCGAGATTTAAGAAGTTTCCCTTTGCTGTCCATTTTATTTAAATAAAAAAGTATTTTATGTAAAACAAAAATAATATAATATAATGTTTTTTTTTTAATTAATACTATTATTTAGCACGGATGCATTACATTAATTAAAACTGACAGTAAAGACATTTATGTTACAAAAGATTTCTATTTCATATAAATGCTGAACCTGAACTTATTCATCAAGAAAATACTGAAAAAATTTATCATGTTTTCCACAAAATAATTTCTTTCCACATAATCATAATATATCTTCAGCAGCAAATCAGCATATTAGAATTATTTCTGAAGGATCATGTGACCCTGAAGACTTGAGTAATAATGCTGAAAATTCAGCTTTCCATCACAGGAATAAATAACATTTTAAAATATATTCAGATATAAAACAGTTATTTTCAATTGTAATAATATTTCACAAAATACTGTTAATTAGATAATCGTCTACGCTCTATCGGATTATTTTCCTTATTTTCTTATTCCTATTTGACACATTCCTATTTTTTCACCAACACTGCTTGTGAAAGAGAGGGAGAGAAATAACTGGGTCTTACCAAAGCAAATAACACAACTCTGGATCTTACTGAAAGTAGTATTCTGGTCTTGCAATCCACCCAGCACAGTCAAGATAAAACTCTGGGTTTCATCTGCCTGCATACAATAAAACATGATACAAGGAGAATTAATAGTTCAACACACGGTTAAAAAATAAACGTCTTGTGAAAACACAGCATACTACAGCCATGGAAGAGAGCAAACGAACTGGCTCAGAGATCGCAGATTCTGCCCGACTTAAAAGCCTTGGCATCCATCTACAAAGCTCTATGACCACAGGTATATTAAACGCAGATAAATCAACTCATCATTTACAGTATTAGGTTTGTCGCCTTCCATTGTCAGTTGCGCTCATTCCTGTTGCGTGTCCTTAATCTGACGACCCGTGTGAGAGTCTGAGGAGGAGGGGGCGGGAGGAACAATATTTTGAATTTGAATATTGAATTTGACAACCCGCGTGAGCGTGGAGTCTGAGGAGGAGGGAGGAACAATATTTCGAATTTAGACCGAAGTACCCATTTCAAACACTAGCTGCCATTCTTACATACTGCACCTTTAAAGGGACAGTTCACCCAAAAGTAAAAGTTTAGTCAGCATTCAGAACGGTTTAAAGAACCAATTCACTGTTTAATATGTTTTGTTGAACAACTTAAACTTAAGTAAGTGAAAGTGTGACTTTAAAATGTCCCCTTTGGTGTTCCACAGAAGTCGTCAGTCATACATGTTTGTAACATGAAGATGAGTATAGACTAAATGATAACAGAATTTTCATTTTTGCGTGAACTATTCTTTTAAATAATAAAATGTAATAAAATTTTCTTTTAAATAGTAAAATACAGATTTAAGTACGCTAACAGTAACTTTACCTCAAAAGCTCTTCTAATATTAGGGACATCCCTTAGTGAGATGACCCCAAGCTTAATGTTCAGGGCTTTGTACTCTAGAATGGCTGTGGTGAGGGACGTTGAATCCTGAGATTCTCCAGCAGTGAGGAAGATCGCTATCTTCCTCATCAGGACGCCGTTTCGCACACGCTTCAGGACATTCCTGCCCACAAACCGCATGGCAGCGCCTATGTTACGGCGTTTTAAAGTGCGTTCCGGGCCGATGTTCTTCACCGCTTCAATAAGCTGCTTCTTGCGGTGATAGTCAGTGAAGCGGATCAGGTATTTGGTGTAGAAGCCGTAGGAGACCACAGCAACCCGAGCCCCTGTCGGGCAGCTGCTCTCTGCAATGTTGATATTGTCCAGCAGTCTGAGGACTACAGAACGCATGTATTCAAAGCCTTGAGGAGACACATCTTCAGACATGTCCATGGCAATCACAAGATCAGTGGGGTAGGCAGGGCATTTTATGTTATCTAGAGAGACAAATGTGAGAGAAGAGTAAGGGACCATATTTAACATAATAACATAAACATAATTTGACATTTTTGGCTTCTCATTTCAGTGTTGAAATATGCCATAAAATGTTACCAACCTCTGCAGCACACTGTAAAAAAAAAAAAAAAATCATACTTACAAGGCTATTATCTATTTCAAGAAAACAATATACAATCATAAAGATTTTTTACCACAGTTGTCTCGGACATATGAGATCAGTTGACAGTCCTACAAAAGAATTTATATTATTTAGATATGTATATATATTTTAAATTAAGCATTATTTTATTGTATTTATACATATATTATAAATATACATTTATACACTACTATATTCTGATTATTGTGAAGTAAAAATATAGTACCGGTATATCTGTACTATATTTGTACTAAATTTACGATACCACTTTTGGAATCCTGAAAAAAACGCATCAGGGTTTCCACAAAAATATTAAGCAGTGCAAATGTTTACAACATTGATAATATTAAGAAATGTTTTTTCAGCACCAAATGAGCATATTAGAATGATTTCTGAAGGATCATGTGACACTGAAGACTGGAGTAATAGCTGTTAAAAATATAGCTTTGCCATCACAGGTCACAGGAATAAATAACATTTTAAAATATATTCAGATATAAAACAGTTATTTTCAATTGTAATAATATTTCACAAAATACTGTTAATTAGATAATCGTCTACGCTCTATCGGATTATTTTCCTTATTTTCTTATTCCTATTTGACACATTCCTATTTTTTCACCAACACTGCTTGTGAAAGAGAGGGAGAGAAATAACTGGGTCTTACCAAAGCAAATAACACAACTCTGGATCTTACTGAAAGTAGTATTCTGGTCTTGCAATCCACCCAGCACAGTCAAGATAAAACTCTGGGTTTCATCTGCCTGCATACAATAAAACATGATACAAGGAGAATTAATAGTTCAACACACGGTTAAAAAATAAACGTCTTGTGAAAACACAGCATACTACAGCCATGGAAGAGAGCAAACGAACTGGCTCAGAGATCGCAGATTCTGCCCGACTTAAAAGCCTTGGCATCCATCTACAAAGCTCTATGACCACAGGTATATTAAACGCAGATAAATCAACTCATCATTTACAGTATTAGGTTTGTCGCCTTCCATTGTCAGTTGCGCTCATTCCTGTTGCGTGTCCTTAATCTGACGACCCGTGTGAGAGTCTGAGGAGGAGGGGGCGGGAGGAACAATATTTTGAATTTGAATATTGAATTTGACAACCCGCGTGAGCGTGGAGTCTGAGGAGGAGGGAGGAACAATATTTCGAATTTAGACCGAAGTACCCATTTCAAACACTAGCTGCCATTCTTACATACTGCACCTTTAAAGGGACAGTTCACCCAAAAGTAAAAGTTTAGTCAGCATTCAGAACGGTTTAAAGAACCAATTCACTGTTTAATATGTTTTGTTGAACAACTTAAACTTAAGTAAGTGAAAGTGTGACTTTAAAATGTCCCCTTTGGTGTTCCACAGAAGTCGTCAGTCATACATGTTTGTAACATGAAGATGAGTATAGACTAAATGATAACAGAATTTTCATTTTTGCGTGAACTATTCTTTTAAATAATAAAATGTAATAAAATTTTCTTTTAAATAGTAAAATACAGATTTAAGTACGCTAACAGTAACTTTACCTCAAAAGCTCTTCTAATATTAGGGACATCCCTTAGTGAGATGACCCCAAGCTTAATGTTCAGGGCTTTGTACTCTAGAATGGCTGTGGTGAGGGACGTTGAATCCTGAGATTCTCCAGCAGTGAGGAAGATCGCTATCTTCCTCATCAGGACGCCGTTTCGCACACGCTTCAGGACATTCCTGCCCACAAACCGCATGGCAGCGCCTATGTTACGGCGTTTTAAAGTGCGTTCCGGGCCGATGTTCTTCACCGCTTCAATAAGCTGCTTCTTGCGGTGATAGTCAGTGAAGCGGATCAGGTATTTGGTGTAGAAGCCGTAGGAGACCACAGCAACCCGAGCCCCTGTCGGGCAGCTGCTCTCTGCAATGTTGATATTGTCCAGCAGTCTGAGGACTACAGAACGCATGTATTCAAAGCCTTGAGGAGACACATCTTCAGACATGTCCATGGCAATCACAAGATCAGTGGGGTAGGCAGGGCATTTTATGTTATCTAGAGAGACAAATGTGAGAGAAGAGTAAGGGACCATATTTAACATAATAACATAAACATAATTTGACATTTTTGGCTTCTCATTTCAGTGTTGAAATATGCCATAAAATGTTACCAACCTCTGCAGCACACTGTAAAAAAAAAAAAAAAATCATACTTACAAGGCTATTATCTATTTCAAGAAAACAATATACAATCATAAAGATTTTTTACCACAGTTGTCTCGGACATATGAGATCAGTTGACAGTCCTACAAAAGAATTTATATTATTTAGATATGTATATATATTTTAAATTAAGCATTATTTTATTGTATTTATACATATATTATAAATATACATTTATACACTACTATATTCTGATTATTGTGAAGTAAAAATATAGTACCGGTATATCTGTACTATATTTGTACTAAATTTACGATACCACTTTTGGAATCCTGAAAAAAACGCATCAGGGTTTCCACAAAAATATTAAGCAGTGCAAATGTTTACAACATTGATAATATTAAGAAATGTTTTTTCAGCACCAAATGAGCATATTAGAATGATTTCTGAAGGATCATGTGACACTGAAGACTGGAGTAATAGCTGTTAAAAATATAGCTTTGCCATCACAGGAATAAATTACATTTTAAAATATATTAAAACAGAAAACAATTATTTTAAATTATTATTTTAGTTTATAAAATAATAACAATAATATAGATAATATTTTGTTTGTTTTATAATCATTTAAATGTTTTATTATCTTTGTTTTTGTTGTTTTTTGTTTTTTGCACATTATGTGAACTAAAGTGTTATTTTCAAAATCCTACAGTTTCTTTCCAGTTTCAAGTACATATAACATTTTTAAATGTTAACTTATGCAGTAGTAAAACATTTTTTAAAAAATCAGAAACTTACAGACATCTGTCTGGTTCCTCGTGGCCCTTTTGGGCCCTATGTGAAGAAAACAACATTAGGTATCCCTTCAAATTCCCATGGTCATATGATGTGAATAATTTTAATATAATCATACCCTGTGTCCAGACACCCCCTCGCTACCAGGATCTCCAGGTGCTCCTGCCCTACCAGCATTGCCCTGTTATCAGACAACCAATTAAGTCTCCTTAAGGTTCATAGAATGAGTAAGAAAATAAAACTTTAAAATGTTTTACCCCTCTTCCCCTGTTGCCTTTAGGACCACCACCTACATTTGCTCCTTTAAAACCCTGTTCGCCCTAAAAGTCAAAAAGAGAGTGATTAAATATTGTTCACTCATTAATGGTTATACAAACAAGTCATTCTTTTATGAACAAACCACATTATAATTACTGTACTTCTAAGTTTCGGATGTAAACTCACCTGAAGTCCAGCATAACCTGGGAAACCAGAATCTCCCTTAGAAAAAAGTAAGGATATAAAAAACAAAAAACTATTTTACATATATATTGAAAGTATATTGAAATACATATATATTTACTATCTTTTGTTTTTAGTGAAATAATACCATACTTTATATTGTGGCATCACACAAATTTGATATTTGAGAACAAATTATTGGCATAATTCTCTATAAACCTTCTGTCCTTTGGGCCCTGGGAATCCATAGCCATCTGCACCATCTTTTCCCTGTCATAATAAATAAATGTTGCAGTCAGTGTTTGCATCTGTGTCTGTGTCATTTGTGTCTTACATCAAATAAAGACAATTAGACAAATTGTTAAATTGCATTCAAGAACAAAACAGCATTTCTGAAATTGCTAAGTGATGATGGGTAATGCCCAACATTGCAGAGTTTTGGTAGCTTATAAAAAAAGAAAGAAAAAGTAACCGGCAGTCCTCTGAGGCCTGGAGGTCCGAAAGCTCCCTTATCTCCAGGATCACCTGGCTGGCCCTGTAAGGCAAAAGCAAGATGAGCAGGTTTAGTATTAAAAAGCTTACATTTATAAATGAAGAGGATGATTCTAAATGAGCTCACTCACCTTCTGTCCCCTGGACCCAGTGCTTCCTTTAAATCCTGGCTTTCCTAAAAAGCCAGGAGATCTCTGTGTAAAAGAGATTAACACAATATCAATGGCTGGATGTGGTTTATTTGATATTAATGCCAACAGTAACCAAATAAAATTGTTTTTCAATATGCACCTGAGGTCCAGGTAGACCAATATATCCTTTCTGCCCAACTGGACCAGGTGGACCGATAGCACCCTGAACAGAAAGAAAGACTCAATCCCAAACTCAAACTAAAAAAAAAAAAAATTATATACATCCAATTTGAGATCAAATTCATTTTGAATGGGGGTTACACACATTTCACATTGCATAATTAATAGTACTCCAACACTAATGCCATCTTTAATGGCATCTTTTCTCACTGTTAACAAACTGGCAAACAAATCAGCTACAGCTCTACATGTTTTTTTTTTTATTATTATCATTATGGGGCCCACCTTGTATTTATTGATAGATGTAAAAAAGAGAAATAGGATCAATTTGTACATTACCAGTGGACCTGTGGCCCCAGGGAGTCCTGGAAGTCCTGGTGCTCCTAGAGGCCCTCTGGGACCCTGAATTCACAAGCAAAAAAGTAATTTGGTATAACTTTTGAAGTGGCCTAAATATTATTTCTACAATACTGTACCAGTAGACCCGCTGAGCCTCTTCTGCCATTAGGGCTCTGAAAATGAAGATAAAAATATTAAAATAGAAAACAGGCTTATAACTTAATGCTTCTGTACTATAATTACATATCAAAGATTAGGATTCATTTACTGGTCTGCCATTATCACCAATTCGACCTGGAAGACCATCTGAACCTGGTTCACCCTGTTAAGCACACAAAGAGAGAATAATAAGAAAATAAGTGATTGATATTTGTTGTTAAATCATTCATATACTGTATATATATATATATATAGAGAGAGAGAGAGAGAGAGAGAGAGAGAGAGAGAGAGGGAGGGAGGGAGGGAGGGATGGATGGATAGATAGATACAGAATACAGAAAATAAAATGTCACTTTTTTTGTCGGATTAATCAAATAGATAAACAGTTGATTATAATTTTTAGTTGCAGCCCTAATATTTCTATTAATACACCTTGACATGT